AAACCAGCAACAACAAGGTGTCCATAACTTGGAACGATAACGAACCTAGGCGCCATTCCTAAACGAGAGTCGTTAGAGTGGTTTATCCAACGAATTCTACGAACCTTCGTATAAATAAACCCACACAACCAAGGATAAACTTTCACCATAAAGTGCGGGTAGGAGGCCACAGCGTGCTCACAATTGAGAGGGGTTACGTATTATTCCCGGTAGGTGTTCTGACCTTGTTGGTTACCATCCCTTCAACGTTTATCTTCAACCGCTTTCACAGTTCGGTTACTATCTCATTAATGTTTACCTTCATTCACTCACATAATCTGCTTAACGCATGCACATCCACTGTTTCACTCCTGTTCTGATTACGTCATGAACATTTCGCCCCACGACTAACCGAGATTACTGGAATCTTATCCTAAGACAAACGACGCAAGTGCATCCTCATTCACAACGACAGCAGGAGGCCGACGCTCGTCACTTCACACAGCGCCTTGACGAGGGTCAGTTCAAACCTACGCGTGACTTACTGTGCAGGAAAAGTCTGGGCTCGATATCGTTTTGGATTAAACGACAAGAAACAGGCCAGATTTCAACGCACTCCGTCAAGACTCGCATTCAATTACACTGCGTCTTACAAACCTCGGTTGCGTCTATTACAACCTATCAAACAAAGTACTTGATAAGTCTCTTATTTCCTTTTGTGTGTTATTCAGTTGTACTAGTGTCTCTGGTAGCCACTATACATCACTGTTTATTGTTAGTGTTATTCACCCTGTGATATTACTTCGAGTAAAAAACAATAGCGCTAACAACCTTCTTTTGGGAGGGTTACGTAGATCCCAACCAAAAAGGCTGGAAATGACCCGACACTCAGTCTGAGAGTGTCTGCTTTCGTTTCCCTGTGGTTGCCAAGTCATGGCATATCCCTCGTGAACCGCAACATTGGCTATTTGGAGCAAGAGGCATCACTTTTTCCGGTTTGACTTGCGTATCATGCAATCCAAACATCTTAGCCTTCGAAAATTGATTTTTTTTATCCTACTGTTTCTGATACTTCAGTGGTGCCTCAAGCACCACTTGTTAACTTGTTAACTTGCTGCAGCTAACTACCATCTGCGAAGACATCGATGGTGAGACATCCGAATTTGTTAAAGGTTCTCTAATAGAACAGGCCAAATTTTGCAACCAAGGGGTAGGACCGTCATAACTGAAGGAGGTTCGCAATTATTTCTGGCCATTTTTGATGCGTCCACTGAGTTCGACCACACTGCAGGCAGGGTTTATGCGGTTGTCTAGAGAGGTACACCGATCTGTAGACTGAAGTTCCTCCCCCAGCACACTAAGAGAATAAAGATCCCGAAGCCACACTTCATATTTGAGGGTACACAGCCCACATTGAAACTAGATAGCACACGCGAAATTCTATTTGTATGTATGTATGTATGTATGTATGTATGTATGTATGTATGTATGTATGTATGTATGTATGTATGTATGTATGTATGTATGTATGTATGTATGTATGTATGTATGTTTTGTAGTATGTATGTATGTATGTATGTATGTATGTGTGTTCAGCTGTAATACCTTTTCGGTACCTAGCTGCCATGTCACCAAAAGGATACACGAGGGCTGGGATACTGCCAGTCCCAGACAGATGGAGTCAAGAGGCAGAAGTCGGGTTCGAACCAATGACCTTCTGATCAGTATGTTCGTGTTCTAACCACTGAGCCATGTCGTATGTACTACGTACGGTCTGACGATCGCTGAATAACAAGATAAAGTTGTCCACAACATTCATTTTTGCTAGTCTTATTCCAAATATCAAAATATTAAAATCCGCTTGAATAACAAGACAGCGTTGTCCACAATATTCATTTCCTCTAGTCTTATTCAAGATATCAAGATATTAAAATCTACGATTCAATGAAGCATGCACTCCAGGATTAGATGGACAACAGGGAAACAAGAAGTCCTGTCGAACTTCGGGCACGTTCACTTTGGACTCTCTGGGGTGGACACTAAAGAGTATATTTTAAAATCTTCAGAATCATCACGTTTTGGTCACGCACACTTGGAAAGACTGACACGTCTTCGGAGACAAATGCTCCTTTAAGGTCGAGAAAAACTACACTTTCTTGGCATAGAGTTCTTCAAGTCACCCACCGTTTTCAATACGTCTAAACTAGAGTTGCCACAAAGTTACCTCTGAAATGAACTGAAGCGTCCTACTTGAGCATTGAAATCTACGGACTAAGGCTATGTCGGACCAAGTTCCGGTGAACAACGGAGTGGTTATTTCCAGATACAAAACTGCATTTCTTGGAAGCAACGCTATTCTCTGTCGGTTCGTAGGCAGAATCTATAAACAAAAGGTGGTCATTATTACTACAGGCGTGAATACTCGTGGAAGTGGACTGACAAACGATACAAAGACTGGTATGCAGTCAAGCTAGAACTCCTCATCTCTGGATCCGAGAGCTTTACCAACAATGCCGCACCAGCTGTGGCAGTTGAATGATCACCGGAATTCCGCAGTCGACTGCTCCTATACAGCGAAGGTGCTGTTTGTCTGGTCAGTGCGCTCAGTTCTTGTATTCGGATGTCAGTAGAGCAGCATAGGTCGATCGATAGTGTATCAATAGTGTGCACAAGAGAGACTTGTTGACCAACCGCCTAAGGCTTCGAACAGTAAACCCTTTAACCAAAACTGATGAACAGGGTCAGATCAGTGGAGATGAAGGGACTTGATTGGTGTTTAACAACTGATCACTTCCTTGAGTCACTGAGTGACGCGCCTACAGCTGACGGTTACAGAAGTGTGGTCATTAGATGGGCTAGAAAGAATTAGGAGTGCAGGCACCAGTTTTCCTCTATTCTTTCAGCTACATGAAACGAATGGTGTGACTGTCTGACGTAGATGCCGACGGCCGATGCTACGTGGAGTAATTAATTATCCTATAGGATGCCAAAGCCTAGACAGAAGGGCATATAGCACTTTCGGCTAAAGCTTACGGTCAAAATCCTTTGTGCAATGTTACGCTGATCGGTGTACGACTCGTAAAGAACTAGTTGCCACATTTTCTCCGAACCCTCAAGTGGAGGACCAGCAGACTATTTGTTGACCAGCCTGGTGGGTGCTGCATGGGCATAGCTCAATCGTTTGCCAAGATAAGTAAACCGCCGTATCACGTTAGAGTCCCGCGACGAGTTTCTTTAGTGGCACACTAACCAGAGACGCTCTGGCCTTGGTTGACGAAGAATAGTAACGAAAGCATTTTCGTAAGAAAGACTGGCCCATACTCGCAGGAGATACAATCCATACAACTCTGCAGTCTGTAAGAAGTAGTATGAGATCCACCCCTGTTCATTTACACTGTAGTGGACTAGTTCCACGCTTGAATTTTGTCCTGCTCCTCCTCATAGTTCGGCCCTAGTTCGGTGAGAATTTCGGCATATTAATCTTCACATGCGCCAAAAATAGATCCCGCGACTGAAACTACCGTAGCAAATTTGAGAGTCAAAGTTGGGAATATATGAAATAAAGACTAGTTATCTATCTACTTTTTATAGGCCCGGTATTCGAGCAGTCTGTAGATTGACTCCAAAAAGCAAATCTCTTTGTTAGTCGGGTAGTGCGACTGCATATTCTTGCAAAGTTGAGTATTACAAATACTTTGATGAGGTGACAGAATTGAGCACTTTGAACAAATGAAGAATTGCAACACAATGAGCGGGACGGAACAAACAACTACTTCTATCTATTTCAGTAATATACTCGACAAGGAAGACAAGCGAACGGTCTATCTCGACTGAGTCCGAGTGCTGAACCACTCAATAAGGACGGACGAAAGAAGCACCCACCCAAAATGAACTTGCGTGAAAAAAACTGACATGGAACTATTGAGTTAGCGACACATTTCCGATAAGAAGAAGTTTCCCAAGCTTTCACACGGATCCCTTTCTGGCCTCATGGGCGTTGATCAACTGCACTATCCCTCTCCATCTCTCCCAACCACGTCACATTTCCGATAAGAAGAGGTTTCCCAATCTTTCACACGGATACCTTTCTGGCCTCGTAGGCGTTGATCAACTACACTATCCCTCTCCATCTCTCCCAACCACGCGGTTGTAACGCGGCTCTACACAACGGATATTTGCCTTGACAGTTGTGTATCCGACTCCATTGTTCACTTGTTCATCTGGAGGGATTGAAATCTTTAAGGTGCCTGATAGCTCAGATAACGCGATCTACTGGGTGAAAGCTACCGTAAGGCCCTTTCGGACGAAATTCTGCGTGAGCTTTGACAAACAGGAGAACATGCACCAAGGATTGATTTCGATCAACCCCCCAGAATAGTCGGGGTGTACATGTAATGTACATGTGCATAACTTGGTCCACTAAAATGGACAGTTGGGGGCCTAGAAATATCTCAGTGATCCCAATCTACATTTCATCTTTCATGTGAATTCAACCTTGAACAGCTCCTTTACTACTATTGGGTGTGTGCAGAACAGCCAATCGATTAGTGGATCGATCGACTAACCGTTTTCAGGTATAAAACTGTGTGATTGTGATTGGAAAAGTGTAGACCAAGTGACCGGATGGTTCAGTGGACTTAATGGTCTTCAGCCATCGGATATGTTGTTTCCCTTAACCGGCGACCGATACAAATTTTAGCTGAACCCTACTGTCTATAACAGTCTTCAACTGAATGTGGTGATCATAGACCGCTTCGTGTTCCAGCTTGCAAGTGAGTGTATGACTTCTCTGAAGTACACTTTGATGTTTAAGTGGAACATATGATTGATAGAAATTCGGTGACTAACCTGCCTGATAAGCCCCAAGAAGGGCGAAACCAGCATTCAGCTGTCATATATTTTTCATCAACCTAATAAGTAGTGTTATGTCAAGAACTGTATCTTCACTCAGTTATGATTTGATTGGTGTGCACTACTTCCTGTTAAAATAAATTCTAGTAAGGTGCTTAGATTGTTTCTTTTCATTCAAAGGTCTTACTTACAAGAAAGCCTCATGTGTTTCAACTTTTCAATTTCTGGTCATATTTTTCCCAAAGAGGTTAAATGACGTTATGAAGGGTTCAAACAAGCACCGGAGGGGACACTGAATCGGTTTAGTTCATTCACAGTCACTTTCTGATACACAAGCCATCCAGGACATACAAAACGGCACCAACATCTGCATTAATCAATAATTTGTAGATCACGACGCAGTCTACAATACCATAGACTGCTGTTTCGATCTTTTGGTTTCTAATTCTATGTCAAGCGTTAGTTCACCAATACTGGCGCTAAGAAACTAAACGCGCACCACCTTATTCAAGCTCAAGGTCAAAGTGCGTTTAAAGCAGTCGGAGAAATACTTAGTTTTTTCTAATCGAACTCTAGAATTGCGATGTCCTAATCCTATTTTCCGGATAGACCGGTTTAGTCACCAACTGTGGATGTTGCTTACACTTTGTCTGAGGTTACTTCTTAATGCTACTATCTACTCAAGTGCACTAAATCTGCTCTAGTTTTACGTACATTCTTCCGTATCGATTCAACTTACTCCCTTATCTTGGTCGGACCAATCATGTGCACGGCAGTGGTTTGATCACAAAAATCCGGCATCTCGCTTGTTATGGACTACTTAATTGTTGTGCAGCTGAGTGAACACCAGAACTGGGATGCCTGTGCATTAGACAGGTTGTACCCTTAGATTGACCTACATATGTGGAATTCTGTAGCATTGCTTGATCATTCGTTCTCCTCATGAGTACAACATATCTGTTCATTCAGTTGGCCAGGGAAGAACGCACTCGGCAATAAATGTTTTTTCCTCAAACTGCTATCAAGAGAAATTCCTCTTTGTTGTTATCGTATCAAAAATCATCAATAACCTGGAGTTGCATACTGACACAGTACAGGTTGGTTGTTTGCTGCTGTGATCAGTCGAAGAAACGCGTTAGGTTGGCTGCTGGCATTCCACCAGTATTCTCACAGCTTTGAACATTTGAATGTACATGCTGTAGACATCCATCTTTCGCACTGTGAATCAGTTCGAACCCACAGCGATCCAATCTACCCAGAAAGTACAAGCTCGACAGTCCGACCCCTCTGCTATGTCGGATATTAAGAAACATCATTTGCAAGTTAATTTGTCCCCTCTTCTTTACCGGACATTAAGAAACATCATTTGCAAGTTAATTTGAATATGAATATCAGATCACATCGCCTCTACAAGCATTGAGCACTTTTATAACAAAGCATTGCCCATCAGCTTTTGGAGTGGAGTAAACTCGACTAGAAGGCGGCATAATCAGAGAGGGTTTCCCGTGACTCAAATATGTTGTGAGTCCTTTCTTCTTTCCTGCCGTTATTTCCTAAGTTTAATTTCTTTATTTGGAGGTGTTATGTATTTTAAAACAACTGCTTGTCCTTGAAGCCCAAAAACAAAAAGAATTCGACGTGTTAGGCACTGTATGGTGTATTCATGTGACAGCATTCCCACATTATCAACATGACAAAACCGAAAGATTTTCAAACAGGTGTGTGGAAAAGTTTTGTGTGAGTGACACCACAGTTCGTTCGGAACGTTCGTTCGAAAATAATAGAGAGGTAAATAGAGCACGGTTTTTCACTAGTTTTCTTCTTGGCGTCGAAATTTTCACTGGGAGGAGAGTAGACTTTGCCACAGGGTTGTGTAACCCGATAGCCCGATAAAATATACTGCGATATCTCGAATATCGTGCCAACTGAATCATGAGGCGGCCTGTGTGTAGCACATTCAGTTGAAGGTCATCATAAATGAGAGATTCAATTGAATCTCCAGTGAGTGTATTTCTCGAAAACAGTCCAATTTGGGTTCAAGTGGAGCATAAGAATGACGGCAACTCGGAAAGTGCGCCTACCTGATGAGCCCCAAGAAGGGCGAAACCGGTCGTGGGTTGTCGAAGAGTTTTCAGCAATCTTGTGAGTAGTTTCCTTTATGAAAACACTCTAGGAAATTTCCAAGTAGCATCCGTAAAATCCGCTCCACGAGGTAAGGAATGACTGACAAGCACCAAGTAGATGACACCTAGCTGTGCTTGGTTTAAACGGATAATAGCGGACAACAAACCGAGTATTTTTAAAGAATGGTACCCCAAAAAAACTCCATGGCATTTCACGTTTCTAACTATCACCTCATTTTTCGAGTAATTTGGGCAACGAGATACTTTCGAGCGTCCGACTTACTGAGTCAGCGGTCTACACGTTACGCTTTAAAGTATCGGAAATTAGAAACTCTAATATATCTCAAGATGTGTACATCGTATGCGCAAATATAAGGAACCAGCAACTCACAGCCTGCGCTGATCGGCCAGTAAACTTTTCCCGTGTATGCAGGCCGAAACTCTGAGTTGCTAGCTTGCGGTGTGTTCTTCAAAAACACAATAACAAAGCACTGGTGATCGTTTTTTCTCAGATCTGACCTCACAAGCGGAAACCCAGAAACCCATCACCTGTCTTGATGGATCCAAATTTTCGGTCTTGGATCCAAGGTAGGATTCTGCTACCCTTTTTCATCTCAGTCATTATCAGATTATCTCTTACCCACGCCCTCCAGCAGCCCCCTACCACACACTGAACCTATGACCTTCTGATCCACTATGCCATGTGGACAAAACTAAAAAATAAATGGGTGACAGATGTGTAAAAGAAGGTGTAAAGAAAGACATAAAAATGGGGGGCGTTTCATTCGAGGACGTGCCAGCAATAGTTTCCATCCAGACAAAATGATCTCCAACATATGTAAGAATGTTTGGAATGGAAACACGCGCAAAGAACAGCAACTGTAAAATGGACAATGTCGAGTGCTTTTCAAGAAGCAGTGCGCCTCAGGACGCGAAGAACAGCAACTGGAAAAAGGACAATGTCGAATGCTTTTCAAGAAGCAGTGCGCCTCAGGACCCGCATTCAGGCATGAGGTGTCCGTAGCACGGGGTCAGGAGGGAAAGTCGGTAGTATTAATGAACACTCAACGACATGAACAACGCATACAGTAAGTAGAGACCCCAAAATGATGATTAAAAACAGGTCACCGCCTGTGACCTTAGGAAGCTTCAGTCCAACAACATAGCGAGGAACTGACCGTCGGTTCGTGAACCAAAATATTAACATCACAGTTGATAGCACGTAGGGCGAGCCCCATGAGACTCTCCTGTGTTCTGGTTGGAAATGCTGTTAAGTTACCAGTTATGTAGTATTTTTCACCGTCGAAAGTAACCAGTATGTCAAAACCCGACAGTGTAGTTGGCTCTGTCTGGAGTTGCTTAGTTCACCGAGACTGGTGCCAGGCCTAGGTGGTCAGTACCCCGAGGTGATACTTAATTACTTGCTTGCTTATTTACTTACCAACTCAAATAATCACTTGCATGCCTACCTACTTACTTGATTAATTACTTTATTACAGCATTCCATATGCATGCTCAGTGAAAAATCTTGCACCGTTTACACTGTTTCCCTCCAACGGGCAAGGCTCTTCACTGCTTCTAAATGTCCACTAACTGTTTAAGGGATTTCAATAAATCTATTCTAAACGACCTTGACGAAATGATATTTTAGCATTTTTCCAAATATCTGAGTGACATTTTTGACAATTCATGTCAATTTTTTTGAAGAACACTAGCCACAATTTCTCAGTAAAAGACCATTTTAGCCTTTGTTGACCCCCCTCCAGGTAGACACAGCCGCCGAGTTCCGCATAACCCCAACTAAATTCAGGTTGCACCAAGTTCGCGGAAGGTTCAGCTAAGATTCATTCAAGTTTCTTGTTGAAATCAAATTTGTGTAAGGTTCAATAAACTTCCCGAATATGTTTTAATTGTTCGTAACTTGTTACTGAAAAACCGGCCGGTTGAGGGATGCCCAACCTGCCACACCCTCAAAGTCCTTCAGGAAAGTGCAAGCACCTCTTTCCCCGAAATGTCGTGGCCATGGGATTTCCATACTGGTTCTGGTTACGACACTTGATTGGATGAAGACTGACTTCGAGTGCGCTGTTTTAGTGGCCAACACACGAGCCAGCCAGTTACAAGCTTTCTGACACGAAATTAGAAACATCATTTTTGAGGAGTCAGCATTTCCAGACGCCCTCTCCAACTTTCATGGACGCTGTTCGATTACTAGACAACGACAGACAAAAATTGCAAAACTGTTCAATAAATCCATATCAACCTGTCGCCAGTTGCAAGGACGGTGGTTTGGCACCTGGCCTGACACTACTGGCATGTTTCATCAGTAGTATAAACGTTACACCATGAAAGCCTCCTTGGTTCAGTTGCAATGGGGTTATTCTACTGAAAACCGTCTGAGTGGAAGTATCGCGAATATCTTGGCCGCCATTTCGAACAGGTTGATGAGCCGATATCTGTAATCGGCTGATTTTTTCCCCCTTTTGGACGGAGGCATTCAGATTGTCATGTTACAGTCAGATGGGAAAATGCAACCTCCGAATGGTTTGAGGTTTGTGAGAAGTGCGGACGTATAGTCTTTATTTTGGCTAATGTCCTGTCCGACCATTGTGCAAATGAATGATCAATCAAACCTCAGGTGACTTAAGATATAGAGAATCGGGCGGCTCCATTCGGTTTCGGGATTCATATCCACGATGTTTGGACGAATAACAGGAACAAATAGATTTCCACACCGAAGTGAACTCCGGGTGACGTAAAGTTGTTTGTTTGTACAGCGGCTTGGAGGTACCAATGCT